CTTTATTTTAAAGTCTATTTTGTCTGATATGAGAATTGCTACTCCAGCTTTATTTTGGTTTCCATTTGCATGGAATATCTTTTTCCATCCCCTTACTTTCAGTCTCTATGTGTCTCTAGGTCTGAAGTGGTTTCTTGTAGACAGCATATATATGGGTCTTGTTTTTGTATCCATTAAGCCAGTCTGTGTCTTGGTGGGAGCATTTACTCCATTTACATTTAAGGAAATTATCGATATGTATGTTCCTATTCCCGTTGTTTGATAGAATTCACCTGTGAAGCCATCTGGTTCTAAGCTTTTGTTTGTTGGAAGATTTTTTAATCACAGTTTCAATTTTAGTGCTTGTGATTGGTCTGTTCATATTTTCTATTTCTTCCTGATTCAGTCTTGGCAGGTTGTGCATTTCTAAGAATTTGTCCATTTCTTCCAGGTTGTCCATCTTATTGGCATAGAGTTGCTTGTAGTAATCTCTCATGATCTTTTGTATTTCTGCAGTGTCAGTTGTTACTTCTTTTTCATTTCTAATTCTATTGATTTGAGTCTTCTCCCTTTTTTTCTTGATGAGTCTGGCTAATGGTTTATCAATTTTGTTTATCTCCTCAAAGAACCAGCTTTTAGTTTTATTGATCTTTGCTATCGTTTCCTTCCTTTCTTTTTCATTTATTTCTGATCTGATTTTTATGATTTCTTTCCTTCTGCTAACTTTGGGGTTTTTTTGTTCTTTCTCTAATTGCTTTAGGTGCAAGGTTAGGTTGTTTATTCGAGATGTTTCCTGTTTCTTAAGGTAGGATTGTATTGCTATAAACTTCCCTCTTAGAACTTCTTTTGCTGCATCCCATAGGTTTTGGGTCGTCGTGTCTCCATTGTCATTTGTTTCTAGGTATTTTTTGATTTCCTCTTTGATTCCTTCAGTGATCACTTCGTTATTAAGTAGTGTATTGTTTAGCCTCCATGTGTTTGTATTTTTAACAGATCTTTTCCTGTAATTGATATCTAGTCTCATAGCGTTGTGGTCAGAAAAGATACTTGATACAATTTCAATTTTCCTAAATTTACCAAGGCTTGATTTGTGACCCAAGATATGATCTATCCTGGAGAATGTTCCATGAGCACTTGAGAAAAATGTGTATTCTGTTGTTTTTGGATGGAATGTCCTATAAATATCAATTAAGTCCATCTTGTTTAATGTATCATTTAAAGCTTGTGTTTCCTTATTTATTTTCATTTTGGATGATCTGTCCATTGGTGAAAGTGGGGTGTTAAAGTCCCCTACTATGAATGTGTTACTGTTGATTTCTTCTTTTATGGCTGTTAGTATTTGCCTTATGTATTGAGGTGCTCCTATGTTGGGTGCATAAATATTTACAATTGTTATCTCTTTTTCTTGGGTCGATCCCTTGATCATTATGTAGTGTCCTTCTTTGTCTCTTCTAATAGTCTTTATTTTAAAGTCTATTTTGTCTGATATGAGAATTGCTACTCCAGCTTTCTTTTGGTTTCCATTTGCATGGAATATCTTTTTTCATACCCTTACTTTCAGTCTCTTTGTGTCTCTAGGTCTGAAGTGGGACTCTTGTAGACAGCATATATATGGGTCTTGTTTTTGTATCCATTCAGCCAGTCTGTGTCTTTTGGTGGGAGCATTTAATCCATTTACATTTAAGGTAATTATCGATATGTATGTTCCTATTCCCATTTTCTTAATTGTTTTGGGTTTGCTTTTGTAGGTCTCTTCCTTCTCTTGTGTTTCTTGCCTAGAGAAGATCCTTTAGCATTTGTTGTAAAGCTGGTTTGGTGGTGCTGAACTGTCTCTGCTTTTGCTTGTCTGTAAAGGTTTTAATTTCTCCATCAAATCTGAATGAGTTCCTTGCTGGGTAGAGTAATCTTGGTTGTAGGTTTTTCTCCTTCATCACTTTAAATATGTCCTGCCAGTCCCTTCTGGCTTGCAGAGTTTCTGCTGAAAGATCAGCTGTTAACCTTATGGGTTTTCCCTTGTGTGTTATTTGTTGTTTTTACCTTGCTGCTTTTAATATGTTGTCTTTGTATATAATTGTTGACAGTTTGATTAATATGTGTCTTGGCGTATTTCTCCTTGGATTTATCCTGTATGGGACTCTGTGTGCTTCCTGGGCTTGATTAACTATTTCCCATATTAGGGAAGTTTTCAAGTATAATCTCTTCAAATATTTTCTCAGTCCCTTTCTTTTTTCTCTTCTTCTTCTGGAACCCCTATAATTCGAATGTTGGTGCATTTAATGTTGTCCCAGAGGTCTCTGAGACTGTCCTCAGTTCTTTTCATTCTTTTTTCTTTATTCTGCTCTGCAGTAGTTATTTCCACTATTTTATATTCCAGGTCACTTATCCGTTCTTCTGCCTCAGTTATTCTGCTATTGATCCCATCTAGAGTATTTTTAATTTCATTTGTTGCGTTGTTCATTGTTGCTTGTTTCATCTTTAGTTCTTCTAGGTCCTTGTTAGATGTTTCTTGCATTTTCTCTATTCTATTTCCAAGATTTTGGATCATCTTTACTATCATTATTCTGAATTCTTTTTCAGGTAGACTGCCTATTTCCTCTTCATTTGTTAGGTCTGGTGGGTTTTTATCTTGCTCCTTCATCTGCTGTGTGTTTTTCTGTCTTCTCATTCTTCTTATGTTACTGTGTTTGGGGTCTCCTTTTTGCAGCCTGTATTTTCGTAGTTCCTGTTGTTTTTGGTGTCTGTCCCCTGTGGCTAAAATTGTTTCAGTGGGTTGTGTAGGCTTCCTGGTGGAGGGGACTAGTGCCTGTGTTCTTGTGGGTGAGGCTGGATCTTGTCTTTCTGGTGGGCAGGTCCACATCTGGTGTTGTGTTTTGGGGTGTCTTTGGACTTATTATGATTTTAGGCGGCCTCTCTGCTAATGGGTGTGGTTGTGTTCCTGTCTTGCTAGTGGTTTGTCATAGGGTGTCCAGCACTGTAGCTTGCTGGTCGTTGAGTGGATCTGGCTCTTAGTGCTGAGATGGAGATCTCTGGGAGAGCTTTTGCCATTTGTTATTACATGGAGCTGGGAGGTCTCTGGTGGACCAATGTCCTGAACTCGGCTCTCTCACCTCAGAGGCTCAGGCCTGACATCCAGCTGGAGCACAAAATCCTGTCAGCCACATGGCTCAGAAGAAAAGGGAGAAAAGAAAGAAAGAAAGAAAGAATAAAATAAAACACAGTTATTAAAATGAAAAATAAAAAAAGAAAGAAAGACGAGAGCAACCAAACCAAAAAACAAATCCACCAATGATAACAAGTGCTAAAAACTATGCAAAATAATAATAATGACAGACAGAACCCTAGGACAAATGGCAAAAGCAAAGCTATACAGACAAAATCACACAAAGAAGCATAACATACACACAAAAAGAGAAAATGGAAAAAAATATATATATATTAAAAAGGAAGAGAGCAACCAAATCAATAAACAAATCTACCAATGATAATAAGCTCTAAATACTAAACTAAGATAAAACCATAAACAAATTAGATGCAGAAAGCAATCCCCAAGTCTACAGTTGCTTCCAAAGTCCACCACCTCAACTTTGGGATGATTCGTTGTGTATTCATGTATTCCACAGATGCAGGGTACATGAAGTTGATTGTGGAGATTTAATCTGCTGCTCCTGAGGCTGCTGGGAGAGATCTCCCTTTCTCTTCTTTGTTCTCACAGCTCCCAGGGGCTCAGCTTTGGATTTGGCTCCGCCTCTGTGTGTAGGTCACCTGAGGGCGCCTGTTCTTCACTCAGAAAGGATGGGGTTAAAAGAGCAGCTGATTTGGGGGCTCTGGCTCGCTCAGGCCGGGGGGAGGAAGGGGTACAGAATGCGGGGTGAGCCTGTGGCGGCAGAGGCCGGTGTGACGTTGCACCAGCCTGAGGCACACGGTGTGGTCTCCTGGAGAAGTTGTCTGTGGATCACGGGACCCTGGCAGTGGCAGGCTGCACAGGCTCCCGGGAAGGGAGGTTAGGATAGTGACCTGTGCTCGCACACAGGCTTCTTGGTGGCTGCAGCAGCAGCCTTAGCATCTCATGCCCGTCTCTGGTGTCTGTGCTGATAGCCGCGGCTCACGCCCGTCTCTGGAGCTCGTTTAGGCGGTGCTCTGAATCCCCTCTCCTCGCACACCCCAAAACAATGGTCTCTTGCCTCTTAGGCAGTTCCAGAGTTTTTCCCAGACTCCCTCCCGGCTAGCTGTGGCGCACTAGCCCCCTTCAGCCTGTGTTCACGCAGTCAACCCCAGTCCTCTCCCTGGGATCTGACCTTCGAAGCCTGAGCCTCAGCTCCTGGCCCCCACCTGCCCCGGGGGGTGAGCAGACAAGCCTCTCAGGCTGGTGAGTGCTGGTCGGCACCAATCCTCTGGGCAGGAATCTCTCAGCTTTGCCCTCTGCACCCCTGTTGCTGCACTCTCCTCCATGGCTCCAAAGCTTCCCCCACCCACCCACCCTCCGTCTCCACCAGTGAAGGGGCTTCCTAGTGTGTGGAAACTTTTCCTCCTTCACAGCTCCCTCCCAGAAGTGCAGGTCTCATCCCTATTCTTTTGTCTCTGTTTTTCCTTTTGCCCTATGCAGGTATGTGGGGAGTTTCTTGCCTTTCGGGAGGTCTGAGGTCTTCTGCCAGCGTTCGGTAGGTGTTCTGTAGGAGTCGTTCCACATGTAGATGTATTTTTGATGTATTTGTGGGGAGGAAGGTGATCTCCACGTCTTACTCCTCCACCATCTTGAAGGTCTCCCCCCCAACATATATTTTTAACAGGTGGGAAGAATAGTCAGAATGGGGAAAGAGGCCATATTTGAAGTGATAACAGCTTAGACTTTTTCAGAAGTGAGGAAAGCTATAGGTCCTCAGACTGAAGAACATACAAAGTCCTTAGCAGAAAAAATAAAAATAGATAGTGATGGAAGTCTAATATGCATCTCACATTCAGTATATCCGAAATAGAGGACTTGACATATTTTGCCTGTCATGCCTATCAGTTCTTTCCCCAGCCTTAGACATCTCAACAAATGGCAGCACCATCCATCTAGGTGCTCAAAGCAAAAACCCAGGCTTTTTGATGTCATTCTTCCTTTTTCTCTCCTCTTCCCACATTGAATTTACCACAAAATTCTATCCTTTTGACCCCCCAATACATCTCAAATTGCTAACCATTTCTCCATCTCTATATGACACCATCTTATTTAGGGTACATGCATTAATTATTCAAAATGAAAGGTGAATTGGAGAGAGGCAAGAGAGACAGAGTAAGACCATTTAAAAGATACTGCAATAAACTAGGCAACAGATGGTGGTTATTTCAGACCAGGGTGATATCAAGAGAGATGGTGAGGAGTGGTCCAATTGTGCATATAGTCTTAAGTGGAGTCAACAGGATTGCTGGTATATAACGACTTACTCAAGAGCAGTTGGAAAGATAATAAAATAGTGAGTGCCTGAGCAAGGCCATTTCAGATGGGGTGGTCATGGAAGCTCTCACTGAGAAGGAGAATGAGTCAGCTACAGTAAGGCCAAGAGAAGGAAGGAAAGCCTAGAGAGAATAAGGGTCTGACACCTTAAAAAACAAAAAAGAACTAGTGTGGCTGAAGCATAAGGAACCAAGGGGAGATGGTATGAAACACGGAGGGTCCAGGTAGTATCAAAATCCAATCTATCATTTAGGAGCTAGAGAATCACCAACTGGGTAGACAGTCATTTTATCTAGGATAGGTTAAAAACAAGAGATGACTGAATTTCTTTATTTCTATGTTTAAGTGTTCAGCCCAGCAAACATTTAAGAAATTTTCCATTTGATGAGGATAATTTCAAAGCATAAGCTCTTTGCTGAGCCAACAGAAATGAGTAGACATGTATATAACATCAGTAAGCTCAGAAGACCCAGTCCCTGTGTGAAATATTGGGCTCAAATACCCTTGAAAACCTGAGAAGTAAAGAAGAGCAGGACCATAGGTCTAGGCAGAATGGTCATTGGCTAAATGTGCCTAGAGAGTGAAGATGGATCCAGGCAAACTATTCTGTGTGATGTGGCTGCCAAAATCTATTTCCAACTCTGGCTGTGTTACTAAAATGCAGTGTTCAAAAACAAAGAGGTTATAATCGCACTCTAAGGGACTCAGTTGCAGGTATCACAATGAAGAGGGACACTGATAAACTGGAGTGTGTCCAGAGGAGAGCTCAAAATAGAGGAAAGCTGTTACGGATGGAGAAATTAAGAGTAGAGAAAGGATGACTCACAGAGATGTATCAGATATCTCCCAATATTTGTGGGGCTGCTCTTCATGGTAAAAAGTGATCAGCAGATGAAAGAATCTGGGGAAGCTAGAATCAAAATTAGACAGTAATTAGCTCTTAATTCCCCTCTAGAAACTACATATTGGAGATGACAAGGAAAGGGCTTAAACACAGGATACAGGCAAACTAGCCCACCTTGGTCATCATTTCCAACTTTTGCACTTCTAACTATTTCATGATTCTATGCAATAGCTAACTGAGTTCATGATTTAAGGAATGATGTAGTCTGGATAACTTTCATACAACAAAGTTCTTCCTGTGCAGATTTTAACCATGTTATAAACTGTTATTTTTGTTTTTGCTTATCTTATAAATGGAAACAAACTTCTGTCCCTCCCGTCCATATAGTTAATTTGTTGACTCAAATTTCCATGAACAATGCTGTTTCCAGTATGATAAATATATGCAGGTGGCTCAAGGTGTCTGAGATGAAATTGTTCTTACATTGAGAAAACAGCAATAATCCCCCAAAGGAGAACAAAGGTCATAATCCTTCTTAAAATTCACAAGTCTATCTTTACTTTAAAGAGGTACTCACCCTTTTGGCTGACGCTACCACTGCAAAGCAGGCGACGATTGTGAGTCCAATCATTATGTAACAAGCTTTCAGTCGCGCTTTGTTACTTGCAGCATCTATCATTTCTGGCCTAAACCAAGATGTGTATTCTGTTAATTATATTAAAGCAATATGATTTTCTGACTGGCATAATAAACAATGATTTTTTATGTAAATATTCCAAAAATGTCCCCGAATGCAAATGGCAGATGTGAAAGATTTCCAAATGCTAGCCCATTATCTTACCGATTTCAAGTTAACAGGTATTTATTCAGGTCCTAAATAATGTTAGCCACTATGAAATGACAATGCAGTATATTTGGTTTCTAACTGTTCAAAATATAACTACTGGAGATTATGACCTGACTCGCCATCATTTTTGTTTCACTGACTGGGATAAAAGTAAGAATTAATGCCTATGTATGTCTATGACTCATGTTCATTTGGCCCCTGTGTTATTAAGTGGGCTTTGTTTTCAGTTTTGAACAGGTTGTTTCTGAAAACTTACTTTCATCATTTTGGTTTTTCACTAGCCTCCAAATCTCTTCTTGCCCCCTCCCATCCTGACTCCATTAAAGAGACTATTATACATTTTGTGAAGATGACTCTTATTATACTGCTATTATACATTATATATTTTGTGAGAATGTCTGTTAGGGAATGGGTGTTTCTTTCGTGGCTTCTGCACGAAGTTTTCAAAAGAAGTGATCAAAATCACAGTGATTTGTTGAAGAAAAGACAAACACACCTTCATTTTCTTATTATTATTCTGACATTTTATATGCTTACTTGAATACTGCATAGTCTTATTTATTAATAAAGTTATATGCAATTTATCCAGATTTTAGCAAAGTAGTGTTACAAAAGTAATCATGCCTGTAGGCCTTTATGATAAAATAAATTTTAAAAATTTGCAGTAATATGAAGTGGCAGTTTATAAATACATACAATTAAAGAATGACTTTTGAGAATGTATTCAGCAGTATTTTTTATCTTTGTCAAGTTTAAATAGAATGTAGTCACATAAAAAAAGAATTCCAGGAAGACAATTTGCAATTCTTCTTAAAAATGAAAATTTTTTTCTTTAACTTTCCACTAGTTGAAAGAACACAGAAAACCAATATCTAGCCTGCTTTCCTCAGATTTTAGGCAGATTAATGTAAGTTTTAAGGTAGTTGTCAACAGATGAATTTTAGCACATTATTAGATTATACTTGTTGTTGACTTTTGTTCCAGATGGAACCTGAAAGATCTGATCTTTTTTACCCACCCATCTGGCTTTGAACAGCTATACCAAATTAGTTTAACACTGAAAAGAAAAGAAAAAGTACAGGCATTATTAAATATCATTAGTGTAAATCAGTTTAACACTGAAAAGAAAAGAAAAAGTACAGTCATTATTAAATATCATTAGTGTATGGTCCAAAAATTATAGGTCACTTAATTATATGTCCATTAAAAGCATAAAAACGAAAGCTGTTTATATTGTAAATCTAACATTTAGCTTAGGAGGCATAGCTCTCCTAAATAGCAATGCTTTTAAAAAATTATAGAAAATAATAAAATATTCAAATACTTCCATGTTTTCAACCCAAAACTACAGTACTTTTTCTAGGCACCTTGCTCAAAGTTAAATTCTTCTGTTTATAATATTTCTTTTTATTTTATTTTATTTTGGCTGCGTTGGGTCTTCATTGCTGTGTGCATGCTTTCTCTAGTTGTGGTAATCCAGGGCAACTCTTTGCTGTGATGCGTGGGCTTCTCATTGCGGTGGCTTCTCTCGTTGCGGAGCATGGGCTCCAGGCAAGCGGGATTCAGTAGTTGTGGCACGCAGGCTCAGTAGTTGTGGCTCACGGGCTCTAGAGCGCAGGCTCAGTAGTTGTGGCGCATGGGCCCAGTTGCTCTGTGGCACGTGGGACCTTCTCAGACCAGGGCTCCAACCCGTGTCCCCTGCATTGGCAGGTGGATTCTTAACCACTGTGCTACCAGGGAAGCCCTATAATATTTCTTTTGACTGTGATCCTGGGGAAATTAAATTATTTCTGTAAAATGGGTCTCTTCACATATACAGCCATGCTAAAATGGATCTAGGTTCTCTTGACAAGTATTAATTTACAATAATGCAGGTTCTTTACATTTTTGATTACTCTGTTGTGTAGCACTAGAATTCAAAATCCAAAAACACTGAGGATGGTCTTTTTAAGCTTTTCTGGGGCTAATTTCTTCTTTGGACTAAGTCTTTAGTTTAGAGGCTATAGATCTCAAGGAAAACAAAATTTGCTTTATAATATTAAAAAACATCTTCGTGGTTGAATAAATGCTGAAAACAGATTCAAATTCCATGTTATTTCAAATTCCATGTCCATTCCTCATTAAATAATTTGATACAAGAAAGGAATAAAAATGTTTGAGAATTCATTATTGAATGAACATTTCCCGCCATATTTTGTTTTCCATTTATTTGAGATGCTTTTGGTGGCTAATAAATTAACAATCAATAAAAGTGTAGGCAATATGCACAGAACAAGATGTAGGCCCAGTTTCCATTATCCATTCTAATAGGCATTGATTACATCATATAAATATAATATTTGAACATCTGAAATCTTTATTTGATTTTATAGTTCTAGTCTCCCGGGTTTTTTTGAGATCAGTTCAAAAAGTAGTAGATTGATGTTATCCTTAGTTTCCTTCCTTCCCCTTGTAACCACTGCCTTGTAAAGTTCCCGGAAGATTTTTGGGCTTTGCATAAACTGAAGCTGTAGAAAGATGGTTTTTACAGGTTACATTTACTTTTTTTAAAAAAAAACATATTACATTTACCCTGGAGTTGAAGCTGTCAGCTTAAGTTTTATCAAGTGAATCTCTGTCCTGGGTTTGGGATGATGAAGAGGCCAGCGACGCTGATGCGCCGTGGGTCCCAGTCCGAGTAAACCCGTACTCAAGAGGGCTGCAGGACCGCGTACACCTGACATCTCCCATCCCAGAAGAGGAGGTCACATGGATGTGGCTTCTTCCCAGAGACTCTCTAGCCACCCCTCGAGCCATGATGTTTCCTTGGGTGCTTCAGGGAGTCGCCCTCCCCACCCCTCCCCTCCCAGGCCAGAGCCCCTCTCCCTCTCAGCCACCCGGGTGCACTCAAGGCCAGTGCCTTCCGTTTGGCCTAAGTATACTCCACTGTCTCATGGCCCGGAGCTCGCTGGGGGCGGGTATCTAAGCGACGGTGGAAGTGCCCACTGAACTTCTGGATTTTCACCCGACTTCAAGAATCTCTCTGTAAGCTTAGCTTAGCTCCCACAGCCCAATCACGGAGCCTGGCATTTAACCGCACTCGGGGGGCGTGGGTAAATTCCTTAAGGTGGTAGGTGTTACTGTGAAGACCTGTGTGGCTCCGCGGCCGCCTCCGCTCCAAGGTGCGCAGAGGTCGGGAAGTGGATGGATCCCGAGACCCCCAGGCCCGGCGCCGACCCTGCCGGGCGCACGCAACCCGGGCCGCACACTTACGGAATCCGAGGCGGGATCTCCTCCATCGTTGTGAAACGCCCGGTCCACAGCAGGATTTCCCTGACTAATTGCGACGGCTTGTGCTCGGCGGGGACCCTATGGGCCTTCCCTGCTGCGACAGCGACAGGGATGTACGGAGGCACCGAGAGATGGCACAGAGACCAGTGCACGCTCACGCCTCCGTCCCCCAGCCCCGGCTCCTCGCCCGCCTCTCCGCGGACCCCTCCCTCCCAGGCCGTTCCCAGTCCCTGCTCACAGGAGCCTGGGGGCTCCGAGCCGCCGGGGGCCCCGCCGCTGGAGTACTGGGGGTGACCGGGGGGCCGGAGAGACGTGACGGGCAGCCGCGCGGCTTCTGGGGGCGCTCCCGGGGCGCAGCGGGGGATGCGTCCCAGGCGGAGGTGCAGGAGGCGCCCGACGTTGGCAAGCAAGCTGCGCCCTGGTCTCCCGGCCGAAACCCAGCCGGAGCCAGGGACCGAGCTCCCGGGACGCCTGCCCCGCCCCGCGCAGCTCCCAGGGGAGCCCCGGATGCGCAGCCGGAGTCTGTCGTGCGCCCCCTGGGTTCCCGGACTGCGCCCCCAGCCGGCGACCCGGGACGGGGACTGAGACGGTCGCCAGGCGGGGCCCGGGAGCGACCTGACGGCGGGACTACTTTCCTCCTGAGGCAGCTCCGTGCCGCTCGTGTTAAAGGCGTTTCTTGGTGTGGAGTAGAAACGAGTCTCCGTCAGAGCTTTTTAGGTTCCACTGTTTGGTGCCCAGGAGAATAAATCTAAACCCTCTCCTCCAGAGAAGGGCAACAGTCAGGCCTTCAAGTTCAGGTCGCTTCAGATGTTTACCAAGTAAGTGTCAGGACTTTCAACGAACTTCTGATTTTCCCATGAAGAGGTTTTTTGAAGCTAGCTCTTCACCCCACTCTCCACTCCCGTCCTTTTCTCTTTTCCAGGTAAAACGACCTCAGTTCCTACCACTGGTTTTCTCCACCTCTTTATTTCTTAGACCACAAACTCTTCAAACTCCCTTCAAAATGAGCTTTTTTTCTATCTTCCCTCTCAAAAAGAGGGGAGAATCCACTTTTCTCTGGTATCTAAACGGGAACAGGGACTCAGAGAAAGGGCTTGTAGGAAAGCTGGCTACTCCGAAGTAATCTACCTAGTCTACTTCCTCACATTCCAGGGACTACAGACCCCAGCCACGTTAAAGTGCTCTCCAGGACCCAGCCCCAGGCTAGCGCACCCTCCTCCTTACTGTCTCGGAGGTCCCTTCCCAACACAGACACTGCCCTACTTTTAGTTGGATCCCCACATATTTCTTTCCTTCCTAACTAGACTGTCCAGGCTCTTGAAGGCAAGATCTCTGTAACTCTGCGTCTTTCACATAATGGCGTTTTAACAAAAGAGGACAGATTCATATCTCAGTAAAGAAATATGCATTTAGAGACACAATTGTGGAAGGAACCATGAGCTTTGCCTTCACACTAAGGTTTAATCCCCTAATTTGTGATTTAAGGATTGCACAATTATAAGCAAATCATTTAAGTCATTTGTCTTGGTCTCATTTGTAAAATAAGAGTTGCTTCCTTTCAAGTTCGTTCATGCAACAACTACAAAAAAAACCCTACTCTATGCCAGCGACTTCTCAGAGCTGGGTATAGAGCAGTGAACAATGTCAAGTGGGGCTTAGTAGATGAAGAAAAAAAAAGCAGGATGAAAAAAAGTAAGCAGGCATGGGGTGGACGCTATTTAAAAAGGATGGTTAGAGATGCCCCTCTAAATGTGCCTGGTACGTTCATAACACTTCAAAGATGTTTCTTTCCCTTCACATTCTTTAACTAGTCCCCAAACACAAGGGCATTTTAATTCATGAAATCTCTTGTAGGGAACTGTAGGAGGCAATGAGCTCCCTAAGGGTGTAGCTGAAACATTGGCACTTGGTAGATACTTAATTTTAATCTGTTAAATAGATGAAAAAATGAATGAAAATCTTCAATAATGAAATAGACTCTATCTGGGCTAGTTTAAGAAAAGATTGAATACTTGAGGACATGCTGCATGATGAACAGAATGAATTCCTACCTGAAAAAGTACGTTGCCATAGATAATATTTGATGGTTGCAGGAATATGCTACTTGAAAATTCTCCCATTATTCAAATGTGTTGTTTTCTCCTTTAATATTTTATTTTTCTTCACATTACTGAAAATACCCATAGAGCTAGAGAAAAACATCTGTGTGAAACAGCCAATCAGTAATATTATATATTACTGTAATATTATAATATATTATAATATTATATATATAATAACCAAGGAATATTAAACTAACTAAATAAGTTTATTTCCCTGGAGAGAACCAAATGTCAGGTATCTACACATGATTTTCTCTCTCAAGCTTCTCTAGCATTGCAGAACCACAGGGCAAGAGAACCGTGGCTTATGTCATGAGAAAAAGAACAGTTTGCATTCTGTTCTCTGTTCCTGATGCAATTAAAATATCACTATTCGGCAGTGTTCTACATTAAAAAAAAAAAACACAGTTGCATGAGAGATGTTTTTCTTTAGCTCTAGAATTGGAACAACAACCAAAAAAAACACCAAAAACTCGAATCAACTTCTAATAGAAGAAAAACTAATTATATTCCTTTCTTTCTTTCTTTTAAACCAGGACAGTTCGTTTGTTCATTGAACAAATGTTCATTAAATGTCTCCTATGTGCTGGGTACTGTTCTGGGCTCTGAGGTTACAGCATAGCAGGTAAGCATACAAAAATCTTTGCTCCTCACAGAGTTTATTATTAATCCACAGTGGTTTCAGTTTACACGTTCTGTACTATGTTATTTCTCAGTCCAATGGTTCATCTAATTTGCATATACTATTTTCAGTTTTGTTCCTTCAAGGCTTGTTTTGATTAGTATGGTTTATGTTCCCATTTCCTACAGTTAATTTACTTACTTCTTAAGGTATACTGCTATAGCTAGGGATAATTTTTAAATAAAGTGATTTCATAGATTAAGTGGAAAGTGTGGTAACTTAAAAATTATTATTACTTTTTATTGTTGAAAGCTAGTGTGTGCTCTGCACTGGGCTAAGGCAGGAAATGCAAAGATTGCTGCAGTCCCCAGGAAGCTCCCAGTCTGGCTGGCACTATATTCCCTCATCAGGAAATGCCTTGCTTCCAAAGGAGGAGCTGGGAGGGACCTTAACTAACTTGCTTTCCCATCCCCTACTAGTCTCTCTGTAGGGAAAGTTACTAAAGTGACAGTTTCCCTGCAGACCCAGCTTACAGTGGCCTCCAGTGGTTCCGGCAACCTTATCAAGTGGGTGGTCCAGGCAAGCGCCTGATTACCTGCTAGGTACTAAGCATGTGCTGAGGACACCAGCAAAAGCTCCAAATGAGATCTCAAAACCAAAAAAAAAGATCTGTATACAGCTCTTCATGTTATTCCTTTTAAATCCCATTTTCATTGCTGTAGTTCAGTATTTTATTCTCTCTCAACCATCTATTGTAATGACCTCCAAAGTATTTTCCTCATCTCTGGTCAGTTCTTTCTCCAGTCCTTTCTCTGCCTAGCTTCCAGAGATAGTTTTCTAAAACATGGATGTTATCATATAAAACTTTCATGGCGCCAATCTCTTTCCTATTTCTTTTTCTAACCCTGCACCCTACATCCCTATCCACAGACTACAAAAACGACCTGAAAAAATATTATAATGAGGCAGGGAGGACTCTTTCAAAGTCTTCTGCTTTGATATTTTGCATAGTCTGATTCAAATCTATGCCCTTGTCATATCCCTAGACGTTTAAGATGTCACTAAGCACAGGTAGGTAGGTTACATTGAATTGCTCTGTGTTAATAGTGATGCACAACAACTATCAATTAACATCACAGTTTAGTTCTGGCTTGTATAGCTGGGGAGGCACTGTGTGTGTGACCAGTGCTCATCAGGGCATGGCTGAGTTCTGACTGGTTGAGTTGCTTATTGTCCCATTGTTCTAAACATTAGTCTGAAAAAATACATTCAGAAGAAACCAGGTTGGATTAACTGCTCCTGCACTGATCAAAACCTTTCATACTTTCAATAATACATAGCTTGTATTCGTTCTAGAAATAGCAAATCTGAAATATATGCATATTTACGAAGTACTATTTATGCAAACTGCCCCCAGGACAGTGAAGAGGCATCTGCAATGGTCATGTCTCTCACATTCGTTGGCTGAAAGGTTATTTTTGTAGCCTACTTGAATGCCTATTAAGACTCATATATGTCAGATTGTGTGTAATTGCTAATCGTTTTTGGTGGAGCATCCTCTGGCTCCCGTGATCAATTTCAAACTCCAAAATTCCTAGTAAGAATCTTTTTTTTTTTTTTTTGCGGTACGCGGGCCCCTCACTGCTGTGGCCTCTCCCGTTGCGGAGCACAGGCTCCGGACGCGCAGGCTCAGCGGCCATGGCTCACGGGCCCAGCCGCTCCGCGGCATGTGGGATCCTCCCGGACAGGGGCACGAACCCGCGTCCCCTGCATCGACAGGCAGACACTCAACCACTGCGCCACCAGGGAAGCCCCCTAGTAATAATCTTGTATGACAAAGTGAGGATTTTATGGTATCCCCAACACTGAATTTGCTACAGACTTTTCACACTTGAGGCACAATTATGACTTTATGTGCTTCAAATCTGTATCCTGCAATAGCCTTTTATGATGACTTGCCAGTGCTTCTCCAGCTCCGTGTCCCACGCCACCCTCCTCATACACGTATAGGGAAGTGGTCTTGCAAAATTAATCCTACCCATTATAAGTGTACAATATAATACCTTACTTATATAGTTACAATTGAAGAAGGGTTGTTATTTCATAATCATGATGTGAATGATGCCACCTTATATTCCCTTAAGACAATTACCTCTTGTCCTACATGCCTTCATACAGTTCTTCAGCTTCCTTCAGCTGCTTGTCTCTCTCTTGGTTTATATGATCATGTTTTCTTGGAGACAGAGAACTGGCCTATTTTAATGTTTTCCCTATTCAGGAATTTAAAAAATCAACTTATCAAAATAATTTTCTTTTTTCTCTTCTGAACCTTTTTACTTGGGGCTACTCATACCGATTTCTAATTTCCAATGTGAAGTCTAATAATATCTAGGCATAGCTAATTAAGACGACAGAGTCTTAGGTGTTTTTTTTTCATATTTCTCCTTTCACCACTATCTACAAATGGACACTTAACTATTATTTACTATTTATGATTGTGATAATGAAGATTAACAACAGAATTTGTTAAGGATAATTGGCAGGGCACTAATACCACAAATCATTTAAATTATCAGAGCTCTCCAACAAGAGGTCTGGGTTGGGTAAAAAACCCAAAATCTAGGGAAATTTTTTAAGATTAAAACTGTATAGCCTAGGAGAGAGAATGTTATAGAGGTTAAAAATCAGCTATTATTTGTTCATTATTCCTTCATTCTTTCATTCAACCAGAAAGTGTAGATTAAACACCTTTTCTCAAAAGCTTAGTACTACAAAACATCCAAGAGTTATCCCTGCTAGGCTGTCCAAAAATAAAGCATTAAAAATATCAAAAACAGCTGTCTCCTTGAATATATACTTGTTATTATTGGAAGGTCCATGTGTACTTTGACTAAATGCTAACTCTAAAACAAAAGAATTTATGACACTGACTGGGTGAAACATTGATTCAATAACAAAGTTCTGTTTAGATGATGCAAAAAAGGTTAAATAGGAATGGAGGCATAGGTACCTAAATGTTAAGTAGTATTTACTTCTGTTACAAACATCATGTTCTGAGTTTGAAGTGTTTCCTTGCTTCCTCTAGTAGTCATTTAAAATCTTGAAACCTAGTTCATAAAAAGCTGGACTGCTCTAAGAGTCCATCAAAGCACTTGATAGTTGTGTAAGTGTTTTATTAAAAAATTGAGTTATAAGGCCAGAAGGGAGTGGCATGACATATTTAAAGTGCTTAGAGAAAAAAAAAAAACTATAACCTAGGATTCTCTACCCAGCAAGGTTATCATTCATAATTGAAGGGGAGAGAACAAGCTTCTAGGGCGGGAAAAAACTGAAAGTGTTCATCTATACTAAACTGACCTTACAGAAGTGTAAAGGATCTTCCTTAAGTGAAAAGGGAAAGGCTACGACAAGAAATATTAAATGAATGAATAAATGGTGAAAAACTTTTTAAATTTTTTATAAAGATTTTGTTCATATGTATTATAGTTTGAATATTTAGGAAGAAAGAGCAAGTTCTATAAGGGCAATTTCTATACTTTTCCCCAAGGAAAAAAATGTATATAAGTTGAAAATGAGGGATTATTGCCCTGCCAAAATTAAAAGTTGTAATTTTTTGGGGGGTCAATTTAAAAGTAGCTTCTTCGCTCCTAAGAATATATTTTTACATTACCATTTCTTAATTACTTTATTTGGTAAACTAATAAAAAATATATTTTAGTTTAATGCTTGTATTCATTAGTATTGAATTAAGCAGGAACATCTATATAAATGTTTATCATGAAGCTGTTCTAAAAGTGTTCCATGAGGGTCCTAGTTCCTGTTATACTATTGACCATAAATAAAAAGTAAAAATATAATTGCCCACTAGGTGGCAACAGTATTCCAAATTGTTCTACTAATACACACCTACAGAGTAGGGGAGTTTTCCTAAATTCTCATGATACATATGAAGAGGATGAGTTCTGTCCCTGCCCTCAACTAGCTCACAGTCTGTATTCTGCAGCTCAAATATATGTACTTTCTGTTTTTTTTTCATTTCTTTTTGGTCGTTAAAAATTCTAAGTATAGACTATTCTCAAGTATCAGAAGAAAAAGTGAGTTTAATATAGCCATTTTGCCAGTGTGGAGTCTGAGCTACCAAGTGTTATGTGCTGTGCCTGGAAGCAAATTATGAGCTTAGTGTCACAACCCCCAGTCCCCAAAGGTAAATCTAATAGACATTCTATGATAGTTTTTCCGCTAAAAACATATGTGGTTTCAGGCATTGCTTTTTCTCATGATTTTTCTCAGCCTCCAGACAATTAAATTAATTGTCAGCCTCCAGACAATTAAAACTGGATTAGATAGCAGCTGTGCTTTAGGGCATCCAGTTCACATTTATTACATTTACTTCATAGTCTACTTTCGCCCTAACTAGTGGCAATAGAATTGCAAGTTGATGGGAACAATCTTACTCTTATCATCTGTACATTTCAGTATACTCCATTATGATATTTAAATATATAACATATTATTAAAATAACATTAAAGGGAACATAGAATTATCCCATATTCTCACATCCTGAACACAAATATTTCCTATTTCTCTATGCTTCCTTAGAATCTTTATTAAGTAAAGTACCCATAACATCTAAAATTTTTCACTTATAGGTCATAAACCATTTCCATTTTGCAGCCTAATCTTTATATTTATCTTTTTATGTGGCATCTTAATATTTAGTTATAAAGAAATGTTATAATTTATTTTATTTCTATGGTGGATGTAGGTTGTTTCTGACTTTACCTGTTGTAATTAAGTACAGAATATATGATGTTCTGGATGGGCTTTAGTTCAGATATTTTGTTTAATTCTATCTCTAAATATGTACTCTCATATTTTTCAAAACATGTGTTCTGAATTTGATTCCCAACTCCTGTCAAGAACCATGTAAATGTGTGTTTTGTGTGTGTGTGTGTGTGTGTGTGTGAGCACACCAACAGTTTTACTCTGGGAAGTTAAGGAAATAGTTCAAACACACAAAAAATGTCCAAGTAATCCAATGTTATGATGTTTCTTCATATGTTAGCATAAGTTTATTTTTGGTAACTAATGCTTTACTTTTTTTATCTTTTTGCATTTCTGTGACCAAATAACTGACATAGAGTTCATTTGGGGTATAAGTTTTCGATCTAAATCAATTTTCCCTATACAGCACTACAATTATCCCTCCCTGTTTATTAAATAATATTCACTTTCCTGGAATTATGTGATTCTTATTTTACTGAATGCTTAAATATAATATATAAATGGGTTTATTTGGATTTTAAGATTCCATTTTATTTATGTTTGTTTTTGTTTCAATATTGCATCATTTAATTATTGTTACTTTATCTGGAAGAACTACTGACTCCTGGCAGTTCTCCCACCTTTATCATTATTTTTCTCTTTTAGAATATTCTTTACCACTTACTTTCTATTTTTTTTATATAAAACAGCTTTTCATGATTTTCATTGCAATAATACCAGATCAGCAAATGGGCTGGTTAAGAAATTATTTTTCTTAAAATTTTTATTCTGAAGTAAAACATGCTCATTGTAATTAAAATTCAAACAGTAATAAAACATAGAAAGTGAAAGTCTGCTCAATCATGTACCCTTTAGAGGAAACTAGTATTACCAGTTAGATACTTGTCTTCCCAATCTTTATATATAGTATGTATACAAAAATTATACTATTCTGCAACTGGTTTCCATCATTCACAATAGATGGCAGGGCCTTTTAGTCGCTGTTCGTATAAACTTACTTCACTTTTTCAAGTGGCTGAACAGTCTTTTATTGAAGAAATGTACCATAATTTATTTAATGAATTCTTTATAGACATTTAACTTGTTTGAAGTTAAAATTTTTTTATTCTTCTAAGGATTTTTACAAGGAATATCATGTATTTCTATGTAGCTGAGAATTTATTTCTGAGGTCTAAATGTTCTATCAGGAGAATTGCTAAGTCAGAGACTGTCTTCAGTTGTGATAGATACTGACAAACCAGGTGTTCTAAATTACTGTTTCATCTACAGAATATAAGAATTCCTATTTCCAAACTAGTAAATTTAACAAATTTTGAAGGTCCAAGAATATCTTTTCCTACCTGGGTAAGCACTGTGTGGAACATACCCTTTCCTCTTGTTCTGTATGTGTTTTGACTGACCCACTGGAGAAACAGGTTTATGATTCTAACCTGATACTTGGATGGCTGTAAGATTATTTAATGTATCTCCTTAAAAGCTTAAACATTTTAGGTCAAAGGCATGAAAATAAGTGTTGATATACAACTCTGGAAACCTTTTCTCTCCCTAATTTGCAGTGTATATGGATTTGTATGGTATAGCAGCTAGCTGGGGTGTCTGAATTCACATCAACTTGGCCACCAAAAAGCTGTGGACTTTAGGCAAGACACTTAATCTTACTGTTCCTTAAATTCCTCCTTGGTAATAGTTACTGACCTCACAAGATTGTTGTGAAAACAAATAACAACTATGATGAGGATAGTAATAATATTTTCAAATAGTGATTTATAGCTTTCAAAACACATTAACGTGCATTATCTCTGTAGATCTTTATAGTAACCTTATATGGTAGACAGAACAAGCATTTTTATCATCATTTTTTCACATAAGAAAACTAAGCCACAGTTAAGATGTGGTAACAATATCAAGGGATGTTTCTTTGACAAGTTAACGTTACTACCAAGGACAAGGAAACACTTACATAAGAGTTCCTGGCAAATAGTTTCAGGCACTGCTGTGTACGTATGGCATTTCTTCAACGTTCCTGAGGATGTTTACAATGAGGAAAAGACCAGTCTGTGACCAACTGTTTTCCCTCCACTTTTCCCACCAAAACTCTTTGTATACAGTTATAGAGAAAAGTTTAATTACTAGAAAATAGAAATACGTGTGTGATTTATAAATGTGTACATGATAAAAGTACTGTGAGTTATTAGACAGCCATTGCTTTTGTATAGCAATTCGCCTCACCCATGCCCAGTGGAAATAAAATAGGCAAGTTTCCTCTTGCGTCGGTCACCACTGGAAGCCTTGGTTATGCATCTAACTTGTACTTCTGTTTTCTCAGCTTCCACTAGAGCTTCATTACAAGCACTGATTTGGGGCCTTGCACACTAGGTTATAAGGGATAGCCCCAGAACTCAGTACACACTGGCTCTTAAAGGAGAACAGGAAAAGGACACTCTCTCATGTGTCTTAGAAGCGTGATTTGTCATTTTCTTGAAGTCTGACCTAACTGATCTCAGATCTTGTTGGTTTCTACTACCTCCTTGAAATATGTATGGGTGTTTCCATCAGAAAGGAAGCCTCGTCCCTCTTTTCATGGTTGTCAGTCCCTTCCGTTTAGTCCCTAAAAGCTCTACTCAGTTATCTGTCATCCTATTATCTCCCCCACATTTAGTGTCTCCCCTACAAAGTCTGGAGATGTCTTGGTAACAGTTAAAAGTAGCACTTCTTGCAGAAATTATAATAGGGAATCCTCTCTATATTCAATAATAAAATGAGTCACAGCATGGTTGAAAAAACCCAGTGTGAGTTACGGTGTTTAGCAGAGTGCTGGGTTCACAATGTAGTTGTGAGGATGACAGTGATGATAACGAAGACAATGATGAAAGTCTGAGAACGCAGAAGGATGGCTACGTTTCTGTGTTTCAAGGAAAAAGTACCTTACTTAACTGAAATTTATGACAGGGAAAATTAGAATAAGATAGTGGTTTAAAGCATTTCTATGTTCATTCTTTCGTTGAACACATACATTTTGAGGGCCTATTATATGCCAGGCACTGTTGCAATTACTGGAGCCACAGTAAGGAATGAAATACAAAATTCCATGCTCTCAGAGGCCTTCTGTTCTAGTTGACAAGATTGACAATAAACAGAATAAAAATAAGCAAAATTTCCAGAATGCTAGATAGTGATAAGTGCTAAGGAGAAAAACTAAAGACAGGAGGGTATAGAAGGAGTATTAGATTGACAATGCAATTTTAAATAAGGTGACCAGGGAAGGCCTCCCTGAGATGGTGACATTTTAGGAAAGACAGAAAGGAAGTGAGAAAGTGTACCATGTGGACATCAGAGAAGATTATTACAGGCAAAGGAAACAGCAGGTAAAAGGCGTTGAGCTAGGAGAAGGGAAGACATGTATGGAAGACTGAGAAAGCCCGTGGGGTTGTAGGAAGGTAGTGGGAGATGAGGTCAGGGAGGTGCTGGTGGCAGGTAATGTATGGTGTTTAAAGACACTGGCTTTTCCTCTGAGAGAAATAGGATGTATAGGGAGGGTTCTGAGCAGAGCATGATATTTTACAGGATTACTCAGGCTTCTGTCTTAAGAACAGACTGAAGGGGCTAAGGGTGGAAGCAAGGAGCAGTTAGAAACCTACTCTCTGAATCTGGGTGACAGGTGATCCTAGCTTGGAGTGGGGTGGTAGCAACAGAGTAGAGGACAAAAGTGTCAGATTCTGGACTCATTTTGAAAGTATAACTTAGGATGGATATGAAGTGTGACAGAAAGAGAAGTGACAAGGATCCCACCAGATTTTTCCATGAGCAGCTAGGAGAAGGGAGTTGCCATTTATTGCAATGGGGTAGCTTTTGGAACTCAGTTTTGGAGATAATTAGTTAAGATGACTACCAGACACCCAGGTAGAGATGTCAGTCAGGCAACTGTATATTCACTTGAGTTGAAATTCAGAAGATAAAAATCTGGGAGTCATCTGCCTTCTATATAGTGACATTATTTAAATGCCTGGATGAGATCACTAAGGAAAAGTGCAGACCAGTAAGAGGAGCAGTTCTGAGCTCTGGGCCCACCAATATTTATAGGCAATAAGAATGGTAAGGAAACAGCAAAGGAGACTGAGAAGTAGTGGCCAGAAACAGAGGAAGAAAACCAAGGGAGTGTGCTGTTGTGGAAGCAAATAAAGAAGGGAGAATAATTAGCCAGTAAGTGAAGTAAGATGATGTTTGTATTTATTAACTAGAGAGAAAGAATTTTGATGGACTGAAAAGAGTTCAAAAGAATGATGGGAGGAGAGATATTGAGGCCAGTGAATATATTCAACTTTTCCAAGGAGTTTTGCAGTAAAGAGAAATAGAGGAATGGGTAGTATATGGAGGGGAAAGTGGGGGGTCAATGGAGTTCGGTTTTTTTCTTAAGGTGGGAGGAAAAACAGCATGTTTGTATCACTGTTTAAATAACACAGAAAATACTTGAGGGTGCAGAAGAGAGTGGAGAATTGCCAGAGCAATGTCCTTGAGTAAGTAAAAGGGGTTGGGATTCAGAGGTCAACTGGAGGAGCTGACCTTGGCTAGGAGCATAGACAGTCCATCCACAGTGCCAGATGGAAAGCAGGGATACAGGCACAGATGTGGTGGCAGCAGAACACTGGAGTTCTCTTTTGATTGTCTCAGTTTTGGTAGTCAAATAGGAAGCAGGGTCCACTGAAAGTGAAGATGGGGAAGATGTGTTGGAGTCAAAGAAGAGAAAAGAAAGTATAAAAAGCCATCTAGGAAGGTGGACAGATTATGGGCTAGGGTAATAGTCTGATTGCCCAATAGCATTTAGGACCCACTGGAGGTTAGAGATCATGAATTTTAAATGAGAACAGTCAGCAAGGTAGGTGGGGTTTTTTTCTTTTTCTTTTTTGCTTGTTTGTTTTTGCCAAGTTCAGCTACATGGGGGCTATACTGATTAGTTTAATATAACCAGGATTATATTTCGGTCCAATGAATAAGATGAAGAGAGAGATGGACAAGGAAATTGAGGGTGTGTACAAGGGAGTGATATACAAGTTGACTATGGAATTTAAGGAGGGAAGTTGGGGACAGAGAACAGGCAGTAGGACCACTGGAGGTCCTGGCGGGGTCAAGGACTTTTGCAATTGAAGTACCAATTGATTTGAATGCTACAAAGCAGCCAACAGCAAAATTACCTTAAGATTCCTGAGCTCATTTTTTGTTTCTTGGTCTGTGACAATGAAGACATCATTCTTCAGGTCGTATTGTGCCATCTTGGCAATAGTCATGTGGCTGTTGATCTTCCAGAGCACAACATCATATCCAGTATTCATATCTCTATGGGCATCAAAATGAAATGAACTCCCTCCATCTGTGAACGTCACATTTTTTCAGTACATCAAGTAACTATGAACAATAAAAACAGAAGCAAAGACTGATAGAAATATTGTAAGTGTATCCATTATCCCAACTGTAACACTGCCTTACAGGAATATCACTTAAAAATTAGAAAAAGGACATTCTGGATCAGTGAGTGTGGTAATTAGTTGAGAAGGTGCTTAACTACTAGGCAACAATTTGAGAAATGTTGAGAATTTCTGCCAAAGTCTTGCTCTGTGAATTTGAGAAAGCAAGTTAATGTTTATGGAGGTAGCTTCTCTAGCCTACAAAATTGAAATCTGACCATCTTTACTTTCTCCACGTTGCAGAATTAATGGGTCCTCTGGGGCAGATGTCCGGCCTCTAATTCTGGTTCCATATTTCATTAGTGGTGTGATCTTGGCAGTTACAATTTCTTTCTGGGCCACAGTTGAGGTAAATGAAACCTACTTAATATGATTATTATAAGAATTAAATGTAATTATGGATGTAAGCACTTTAGCCCAGTATATGGCACAGATTAAGGGTTAATAGAGATTAGCTTAATACCTTTAAGTACCTGTTATTGGCTAATAGGGATGTTGTGCAAATAAATAAAAATACTTTGCATCTATCAACTAATAAAGTCACCTGGCATTCATACATTACATGCTAATACTCAAATCTGTGATGCCCTTTTACTCCATAACAACTCAGCAAAGCAAGCTGAGCAGGGATCGTCTTCCTCTTTTCTCAGAGGAGGACCCCAGCCAAGGGGTGAAGGACCTTAATCTGAGGATACACATCTTGACTTTCATTATGAGGTCTTTCCATTGCACCTAACAATATATTCATTTAAATTCTCCTCATTGTTTTTTTCCTTCTGACTCAAAGCAATCATCCCTGTGCCATTTGGAGTTATGGAAGGCAGGAAATTCGTCCTTTCCTTCTAGAGTCACAATCAGCCTGGGCCTTTGGCCAAGGCAGAGTAGGTAATCCAAGCCAGTAGCTGTCATGCGCATCAGCGCCAAAATGAAGGCTGAGGGGACAGAACTACAGACCTGGGCAACAGTCTGGTAACGACAGCACCCTGCTCTGGGGTTTGTGCTGAGGGGCGTCCCTACCCGAGAAGTTTAATTGGTGAGCCCAAGGTAACCGCTAGTGTCTGCCTTCTAAGTCCATACTCGTTTGGTGGGACGTGTAGATCTTCTCATCTCCAATGGTTTTCAAGTCTGTTTCAGTAATTGAAAGTATAGTAAAGTGATCTCTAAATTCTATTTCCAATTTAGTTCAGAAAATGATTTTTTTTAACTTGAGAAGAAATATAATGAAAAAGTACTTTTCTTGTTACCCAGTTTGTTCAGTGAGAACTTGTATGCAATATAGCTAGAACAGAAAATGTTTTACTGACAAATGAGGCAGCCGTATTGAGCTTGTGCTGCAGGAGAAGAATACTGGACTGGGAGGGAGGAAAACATTTGAGTTCTGGCTCCACGGTCCCGTGCATCTATATCTGTGATGCTTATGTGGCTTTTGTTGGGTGCAAAATCTATGGAACAAGGCTGAAATTATTCTATTTGAATAGTGTTATCCTTATTCTATTTCTTCCTAGTTAATCTTTTTTTAAAAAATATTTATTTATTTGTTTGTCTGGCTGTGCCGGGTCTTAGTTGTGGCATGTGGGATCTTTGCTGCCTCGTGCGGGATATTCATTGCGGCATGTGGACTCTTAGTTGCGGTGTGTGGGATCTAGTTCCCTGGCCAGGTATCGAACCAGGGGCCCCTGCATTGGGAGCGCAGTCTTAACTACTGGACCACCAGGGAATTCCCTTAGTTAACCTTTTATGAATGTTTCTTTCCTTCAGTTTTTTTCCCCTTTGGCAAATAGAATATAAGAAAATCAAGTTGTATTTTAAGTAAATATATTAGCTACAGTAGTCATGTCAATAACCAAATATCACTTTAGCAAAATCTCTAAGCATGTATATTGATTTTATTATATGTCCTCACAGGCTTCTTAGTTCTTTTAATCAATTCAAATTAATTAGTATTGCTTTAAAGAAGCAGGATGTCAGATCTAAGGTGGTAGAATTAACTGACAAAATCTTATCCCAGCAATTGCCTGGAACAAAAAATATGGAGGGAACAAAAATAGAACAAGTAAAGCCCTATCTTCAATGTTCCCATCTCTACCTGTGTATTGATTTTTCTTCTGTTCCTTCCTTAAGCAATATACACACGTAAGCCCCAGGAACTTAGTTGTTTAGAGAGCATATCCTCTTCCATTCTTTTGTTTGAACTATAATTTCCACCAGTTTTTTCCTCCATTTAATCAGGTTTTACAGGGTAAATTTCTGACACATATACGTTCTGTAAATAATGATAACATTGTATGATGTAAATAAACTAGCACAATTCCATGTTTGTTCTTACAGGAAAGAGGGTGGAGGCAAACAAAACAGTACATTCATCACTTGTTAAATATTCTATCGAACATTTGCTCTGGATTAGGGTAATTTTGAACATTCATGCTTACAGTTATTAAGCTATTTAAGGCCTTTTCCATCCATTATTTGTTTATTTTTCATCAAGACTCTGAAACTCATGATAAGTTGACTCTAAAATATTTAGAGAGTAGGATTTGCATCTCCATGATTATATAATTCACCTCTGTATGGTAATGACCTGTTTCTGAGAACACAGGTCAGGAGACCACTCCAATTAAGCTGCTGTGGTTGATGCTGTTTTCCGTATCCCCAGCCTCTCTGCTGTCCACTACGTCTCCTTAAGTGAGCTGTGCTTGTGAAAAGAGGTATCTATGTGAGCGAATTAGAGACTAGCAAGGAAGCAGCCTTGCATCTCTGTCTGGTACCCAACCTATGTCTTTTTCTTTTGTAAACTTTTCCATGGTGTAGCAAAAACGCACATGACTAAGGCTGGGACCGTTTCACTGCTAACTCTATGAGTGCCCACGGGCCAGACCCTTATGGCTGAGGTCCCCTCCATCTCTAAACTGCTGAAATTCTCAGTCACCAGTAACACTTCTTGCCAGTTCTTTAGGACGAAGTGTAATGAACAAGAATCGGTGGATCTACCATAATATTTAAAGATTCGAGATGATGTGTGTCAATGCTTAGTATAGTAGGGCTTAAAAATTATTAGTTATTATTTTCCTCATTGCTCCACAATCGTTCCCTTTTTGTCCTCATGTCTCTTCTGACTTTTGGACCACTACACTTGAATGTCTCATAAGTTCTTCACATTCAACATGTCCAAAATGGAATGCTTCATATTTCTTCTCGCTTCCGGACCTTCACTTTTCTCTGTGTTTCCATCTCAATAAATGGCACCAGTTGCCCAAATTTAGAATCATTTGCGACATCTTTGCTTTTCTCTGTCATTCTTTACATCCAATCTATCTCCAAATACTCTTCGTCTTTCCTCTTAAGTATATGCCTTTCCATCCTCATTGTCACACCCTTAGTACCCGTAGCACTTATACCTGAAGTATAAGGCATCCTTATTGTATGCCTGGATTACCAAACTGGTCTTTCTCTGTCTAGTCTTGTGTTCCTCTAGTCAATGTACATTGCAGTAGGAATACTATTTCTACAATGGAAAGCAGGTCACATCACTCTTCTGTCTAAAAATAGCTTTAATTGGCTCCCCTTTGCTCTCTCAAGTCCAAACCTTTAAACATAGCTTGCAGACTTTCTATTGAAAGGATAGTCTTTGTACCAGCAATATCAGCATCACCTGAGAGATTGTTAGAAGTGCAGACTTTCAGGTTCCCCACACTGGAGCTACTGAATTAGCATCAGCATGATAATCATATTACCAGGTAATCAAGTTTGAGATGCTCTGATTGATAAGGCCCTAATGATGGATGCTTCACTAACCCTCCACTCTCATTTGCCTGTAATTTCCACAAAAGACTCCAGTTCTATGGCACTACTTTCTGATCCATGAAGATGCCATGCTTTCTCTCTCTGTGACTTTGCTGGAGTATTTCTGGCCTGCTTAACTCCTACCCATCTATCATATTCACCAGAGATGTCACGATCTTTGGAGAGTGTTCTCTGAATTGCTAATGTTGGATTAGTTGCCTCAATTATATGCTTCTCTACCATCTTGTATTTATATGAAACATTGTAATGCATTATTCTGCACTGTGATCAGCTCCTTAATTGTTTGATTGTTTACTCCTCTAGACACATGACTCCTTTAGGGAGAGAATTGTCTTGTTCTCCATAATATTTTCAACAGTCAACACAATGGCTGGAACATTGAGACACCCAAAAAATATTTGCCAAATAATTGTGTAAAGAGTAGTTTGACTATTATACATTCTCTCATCCCACATACATCACTCACTACCTTGTATATCATCCACAGTAGAGGAAAACAAAAAAAGAAAACCAAAATCACTGTTCACAACAAGGAGGTGGTATACTCACACATATCTGAGGAACATAAAAAAAATCTGTTGAGATAAAACAAGTATGACTGTGCTATCCCTGAATACTGCTCACAGACATCACCAAATGTGGAGCCAAGGTAAGGATTATCCTCAAATATTGGAAAAAACTAACTCCTTTAAAGTTATTTGAATCTAAAATCATTCAGAGAGTATTATTTAAATATTAGTGAATTTTGCCAGGGGACAAAATAATTTTTAGGAATATATCTTTGATTAATGACCCTAAATGTTGCTGATCTTTTAAATTTAATGTCTATGAAGATTTCTTCCTAAAAAGACAATTGTTTGCATTATTTGTCCAATTAATTCTGGCATAGACATGGCTCACTCGTGATCAAAGGAGCAAGGCACTCCGCTATTCCTCCTTTCCAGTCTGTTTCTGTTTGTTCTGGATTACCATGCTCCCGGGGTGGGGGGCAATAAACAATGACCCCAGGCTCCTAGTGTTTAAATAAAACATTTTAGAAGATCTGCTTCAATTATACTTTCTCAAGATTTTTCCTCAGAATGTTTGAGACTTACTCCTGACTTAAAATACTTTCCCAGAGGATAAATAGCTATTGCTATTTGTACTTCTCTTCTCTTCTGAGTCTCTTTATAGCTCCTCCCCTTTATCCCATCTGTCTCTGATTGTCTATTTTCTCTCCATTAGTCTTTCTCAACCTCTCATTCTTAAAATTTCATGTAGTGGTTTCATTATGATGGTCCACTTAACTTAGAGATTTTTTGTCTTTTTTTTTAACCAATCCCTCATTAAAGTTTTACATTACATAGAGTATGCTTTCAAACAGGTATCTTAAAATCACTAGACATATAAATATGTGTGTGTGTGTGTGTATACACACATATTTTAAAGAGAGTTTTAATTAAAAATAAAAATTCTAATCTCTAGTCTTACCTCTTCATTAGGTTTTTTTTGCCTTGCATTTACAAGGTGAAAACCAGTTTTAAAATGAGCAACTTAAAACATCCTATGACCATCACATGATTCACCCAAATGTAAGCTGATCACTTCAGACCTTGGAGCTTGTATTTGTGGGTGTTTAAAGTAAGAATGACAAAAGTAGAAACAGCCTGCCATGGACATTCACTTATGTGATCAGAAGAATTGGATCTTATTCCCTTTTACCTTTTTTCCCTAATAAATATCTTTTTTGGAACATGATTCTGCCTTAAGACAGACAGGTTTGGCTTTGAATATATGTTAGTGAGAAATTTGTTTCTAATGAGTGAAATTTATCATATAAAGCAGCAGTTTGCTTTTAAATGCCTTGTTTATGAACATTTTAAAAACACAATGGAAAATTTTCACTAAAGAGGGCCATATTATGCTTTAATTAGAGTTCTACAAACTAATCAAAGAGAAGAAAGGGAAAGACTTTTACACAATTAGTGGTTCATTTAAACCTGAGATATCATAGAACTTGTTATGACTGACCTAACAACATTCATTTGAAGAAGACTGGAGTCCTAGGAAGACTGCCCTAAGTAAGAGTCATAACTGGAGGCGTTAGGACTTTAACGACCAGAGACACCATGAAAACCAAAGGGTATGGAGTCAGAAGACCCAGACGAGAGTCATATTTCTGGTACTTTCAGCTTTCGTTTCTTTATGCATAATATTTAGCAATAATAAAAGGGATCATTAAACATGCCTGGTCTTGTGTTTGTTAAGAGCATCAAAAGAGATAATCATTTGAAGCTTTGAAAAGCTGCAAGATCAGACACAAATACATAAACCAAAGGAAAATAGCACTATCAACAGAATCTTCTTGGAAATTAAAAGAACACGACTTTGGTGGGTCAGAGTAGGAGGTGAAGGTAAAATAAAAACTCTATTATCCTTAAGAACAAAGAACTAGTGATAGAAATTCAGGTTATTCAAACACTGCAAGTATCTACTTATAAAAGGAATACAGTTAAGAGCAGTTTATATAAATATTGCGTATTAAAGAAATGATGGTAGGGGAATTTTCTCAGATATGTGAGTTAGTACCTCCCATGGTTGGAAGGCATTGGGGTTCTGACTGTCTCGAGCTTGGCACAGATCCCAAATGGCATAACCAAGGGCAAACACTGCTAGCTGAATACTGTGAACAAGTCCCGGCTCAGTGTAATCCCACAGGAAGTCATTTCTCAGCGAGAAGTTCCTTTCTATATCCTCATTAGCCTTGTAGGCCAAAGTCCCCTGAGAATAGTTGGAAATGCATTGACTCAGATCACTGTCCTTAGTATATGCAACAGGCAGAGCCTTGAGCATGGCATATTCATTTAAGGGCTTGTTATTATCACTGGGAAACATATGCAGATTTTGAAGAAAGGAATGGAAAGAGGACATATTCCTTCTTCTAAAGGTAAACCCCACAACTTTGCCAATCCTTTTAACATTAGGAATGGTGGTGATCTTGGTGGCCGTTGACCAGTTATCGCTAGCAATCCAGATCTTATTTATATTCCTTTCAATGGCTTTACTGAAGAGATTGAAAACATGGAGCTGACTCAGAAATACCACAACGACATTAACCTGGCTTCTGCTATGATTCTCTCAAGTGTCTGACTGATCCTGACTTCAATGGTATTATCTGAGAGGAAGGCTGGGAGAACTTCTCTGAAGGCTATGCACACATTATTTGTTGAGGTCTGAATTGCAAAAGTGTTGAGAGCCAGTCGTCCATAGTCATCATCTGTGGTTAGGATGCCAATCCAGTTCCATCCAGATTTCTGAATCAGGTGGGCCATTGCTTTAGTCTAGTAGAAGTCACTGGGCACAGTCTGTAAAAATGAAGGAAAGCGAATTTTGTCACTTAGGGTTTCTGCAGTTGATTCATAACTCACCTGGAAATGGACAGAAACTTTTAGTTACGGTGTTGATGAGCTGCAGGTGGCTATTCATAGTAGATATTCTTCTCTTTGATTTCTGTGAGTTTCCATAACATTTTCTAAATTCTTTGATCCTTTCCATCCTTCCCCTTCAATGAACTACTTTATAAATAGCTTAAATCACGATACTTAGTACCTGGTGACTGTTGAGAGTCATTGCTTTTCAATCATTTGGTACTGTGTATAGTATAAGCCCTTCAAGGGTTTAAGCTCTATCTTAAATCTCCATCTACACTCCTATATCCATTTATATCTATCTTATATCTCAGGTCAGGGCCAATAGTGGGTATTTTTTTTAAATACTTAGAGATAAATATGGGAAAATGCAGCCAGTCAAATAAGCAAAATGAATTTTCAGACACCTAGTTTGTTCAAAATGTGTATAAATGACAACTTTGATGATTTTTATTCTAGGTAAAATAAATCATCCAGACAAATAGTCATCTGTCCAGGGGTCAGCAAACTTTCTTCTGTAAAGGACCAGATGTAAAATATTTTAAGCTTTGTTGGTCACGTGTGGTCTCTGTCATATATTATTTTTGTATTTTTTGTTACAACCTTTAAAAAATTTAAAAATCATGCTTAGCTTGACATCTCAAGAGCTTGAGAGCCACATTTGACCCACAGGCTATACAGTCAATAGTTTTCGGACTCCTAATCTACTCAAAAGAGCAGCAGCATTTTAGGAGACCTTCCTAATGTGTGCAAAGTTTTGCCTAATTTACAGCTTTGGCGATTTTATTCTAGGGAGAGTTATTACCTTCCACAACTGCAATTGCACTGTGCCACTTCCTCAGTGATTTTATTTTTTACTATTTACAGCAGCTACATGGTATGGGGGAAAGACAATAGGCTTTGGAGTCAAACGAACTGTTAGAATCCTGACTCCAATAAATTTGGCTAAGTTAGTTAACACTTCTTTCCCTGCGAAACAACAGGATTCTTGTGAAGACTGAAGGAGAAATTTTAAATGGATAGTGGCACACAGTGGACATTCACTAAACCTTAATTACCTTCCCAGTACCTGACATAACTATGTTCACCTTCACTGTGCCGCCCGGGGTTCTGCAAAATCCGTGTTACCACAGAGAGTCCCCTCTCCTATTGTGTGGTCTATCATGGAAATTACATTTTCACATTAAACAACCATTGTTAAAAATAGTCTACTTTTCTTACTTGTCACTTAACTAACTCTATACGTAGTCTAGAAATTTGGGGCCAAAGCCTTATCTCTGAGATATTTGGGGGAATAGTTCTTTTTGTTTTGTTTTGTTTTGTTTTGGACTTAAACTTTTCATTATCAACTTCTCTAAGCTATAATATAATGGAACTCTCAGAGTCTTATATGGGTATATGCACTTACTTAGTCTAGCTCCAGAAAGTTATATATTTTGAATTCTTATGTACTTATATTATACATGTATATATTTCTATCTGTTCACTTCTATCAGATGGTCATTTCTTGATAATCTAACTATAAGCCTTTTCTAACATTTTGCTTCTAATTTTCCTTGATCTTAGAAAGTAATGACCTAGTGAGTTACAGAGTGATGTGATATGAAGATTAATTGGTTCAAAATCAAAGCCGAGAGAGCTTGCTTGACTCTGAGTAATGTGCAAGGACTTAGTGCAGGGCTGTCTAATACACACTTTGGTCTTTCAGAGACCATTTTGCTTACTTCCTGGTTAATGGTTTGCATTATAGGAAGCTCAGTAGTTCACAGTCTCTGCTCAAAGCCTTTCCATCATACTCAGAACAAAGTGCAAACCATACCACAGCTTACAAGATGCTATATGACCCGGCCCTTACCCCTCTCTACAAATGCATCTCTTACTCTGCTCCTTTCTGCTCAAACTGACCTAACTATATTGACCTTTTGTTATTCTTTGGACATTTCAACTTTGTACTTACTGCTTTCTCAGCCTAGGTACTCTCCTCTTGACTGTCCCTTTTCATTCAAGTTTCAGGCTAAACGTCACCTCCTTGAGAGTCTTCTTTGACTTCCACACCCCTTTACCCCTCACTTCCCCTGCAGTTTTCTTCATGGTACCTGACTGATGTTATTTTAGAAACAAGGCAGTTGAGGTGCTCAGAAGTTTCTGTCTTATCCAAATCACACTGAAAACTGTCAGAAACTAGACCTGACAGATTGAGGGATGACTACTCCCTTAGTGCTTTGATCACTATGCTATCCATAATAGGGCACATCCTTTTTTTTTACTGAAGAGAAAGAAAGGTTAAAGTAAAAGCATCTCCCCCACTAGTTTCCCAGATTACCCTGATCCTTTCATGATAAAGAATATGATCAAACCCAAAGTATGGAGGTGGCATGAGCTGTAAATTCAACATCCGGGAGACAGCCATGGTTATTTCTGTGTAGCCAGCACCTATGACAGCCTTAACCCTTGGCATGTATCTGGAATAGTCACACTTAAACTCCATGATTTCTCTGGAGCAGTTGAACTTAGAAACCTCAGAGCAGCTGCCATTGCCTCTGTGACATCTATGCAAGTGTCATAGATTTCATACCCTAGTTTGACTCCAGATAATAGTGTTGAATTATTGATCATCTCAATGCTGTGTATCATGGCAAGAGTTTGAAGAAAATTTGATACTTCAAAGCTGTTGAGAAACAAGTTTTTTTGAAATTAGAACATAACTCTTCTACAGACATGATGATATCCTATTTTATTCTCATTTCTGCCGTATAATAGACAATTTATGAATTGGTGACACTTATCTCTTGAAGGATCTAAACTTTATTTATTTAAAAATAGTTTTTGATGGAAACCTTTCTCAAGAGTATACAAGGGGACCTCCCTGGCAGTCCAGTGGTTAAGACTCCGTGCTTCCAATGCAGGGGGCGTGGATTCGATCCCTGTTTGGGCAACTAAGATCCCACATGCTGTGCAGCCAAAAATAAAAAATTTAAAAAAAAAAGAGTATATAGGAACCCACAGTTTCTCAAATGGAGTCTACAGAACAGGATTTAACCTTTTCTTGGTTAATTTCAGGATCCTTTTGAATATTCAGTTTAGTATTCTACAGTATGAAGATGTTTTTGTAGTTAGATGTCAGCATTTTATTGCTGTCCAAGAATCTGCTTTTATAGACTCTGCCATTTTTTACTTTTGTGATGCTAATCTATTGTGGTTGGAAACCAGACGAATAAGACTCTTAAAAAAACAGAGTTAAAAAACTCCTATAAAACAGGCTCTGGGTAAACGCACAATAGCTTTCTCCTAGATAACATGCACTATTTCCGTTCCAAGGCATAGATATTTCCCCTTTTAGCGGGTTTTTCCAGTTGGCTTCTGGACTTGTGATTATTCCAGAGCATTGAGTTGTTTAATTACTGATTTACTGTTAAGTTTATTTCACCCACCACTGTATACAGAAGGTTACAAACAGTGCCTAATACAGAGTAAGAATTCAATAAATACTTTTTTTTTTTTTTTTCCGGTACACGGGCCTCCCACTGTTGTGGTCTCTCCCCTTGCGGAGCACAGGCTCCGGAAACACAGGCTCAGTGGCCATGGCTCACGGGCCCAGCCGCTCCGTGGCATGTGGGATCCTCCCGGACCAGGGCATGAATCCATGTCCCCTGCATCGGCAGGTGGACTCTCAACCACTGCGCCACCAGGGAAGCCCAATAAATACTTTTTGAATGAATAAAAGGGGATATTGTTGTTCAGGGTTTTGATATTTTCAAGTTTCTTTTAATTCATTTAGTTATGATAAATAATATTTGGATAATGCTGTTTGTCATTACAGACTATCTAAATGTGAAGTTTGGCAATGAACATTAAGTGTTTAGTTTAAAGAAAGAAACAAAGAAGAAAGGTTAAAGTAATGAGTTGTCTGGCAAATAAAATGTGTAATATTTTCAGAGTCTCCCACGTGTTAGCTCCATGAGGGTCTGAACCCCTTTGGTGTTTACCTCAGGATCCCCCCATGCCTAGAATGCGACCTAGGTAATGTAGGCATTTAATAAATAGTTGTTCAATGTTGAATGAATACTGTTTCTCTCAAGGAGTGACAGTAAAGCAAAATGATGTTCAGTGACTTTTTTTTCCAGAATAAATTTGCTTATTAGACCAAATGATTTTTTTAAATCATTTTCCATCGTTAGTTGTTGGCCTATGATTGTGGGCCTTAAATCTGCAGTGCCTATTTAGTGCTCTGAAAAATCCTCATTAACTATTTCGGGGTGTTCGCTGGTATTCCTGATAATCAATGATTAAGATGACAGTAGCTCAAAATACCCAACTTAATGCCAGGAAGGAATCTTAGAGTGATGTGGGATCACATTTCACCTGAAAGCATTCATAGGGGGCATGATAAACACTTTTTGATTAAAAAAAGAAAAAAAAGGGGGGGGGAAAGAGGAGATTAAATTTATATACAAAAGTATCAAGATAGAAATCAGGATTTGAGAGTTAGAAGGAAGCACTGGGATCACATTGCTATAGCAACAGAAGCTGATGCTGCCTGTCTTTAAAAGTTATCCAGGCCCTTATTTTACAGAAGAGAAAAATCAGAAGCTGAAACTCAGAGAGTTTAAATGATTTGCCTAAATCTACAAAATTACTTTGTCACCAAACTGAAATTAGAATTCAAATAGCCTGTTCTCCTTAAAGAAAACCATCTGTAGTATCCTCCATCCAGCTTTATTTTTCTATAATACTCCGTGACAAATGTCTGTTCTGTAGTCAAGCTTTCACAATATAAAGTGTTCATGAAGGAAGAAGGAACACTCTGAGTTGAAGTAGGGTTCTTAATTCATTATGAAAGAATTAGATGATTTCAAGAATGAAATAAATACAGTGTTGACAAAAATGTTAGTATGGAGAAAAATTTTAAGTGCAGTCTATTTTAAACAAAGAATTAAATAAAGATCCATGTTTGAAACAACCCACATTTGTGGGTGATAGGAATATAATTGTGCTATGTATGCTTGTAGTGGACAGGCTACTGTGTCTTACTGGTTTTCTCCTGTGACTTCAGGGGTTATTCTTTATAGGCAAAATCCGAATAAATATATTAATGGGAAGCATTCATTGCCTCTGTACTTGGAGGTTGATTATACATATAGCGCTAATATATCTTTCTTGTAAGGAAGAATAGCAAGACTTAACTTTATGCAACTTAAAAATGTATGAGTTTAAATTTTGTTAAAATAATTTAGATGTTAACACAAGTAAACATTTACATGCCCTAGTCTCACTGCATAATCTTGAAATCTAAATGTGTTCTCTGAAGCTTTACTCACCCAACACACTTCTGGATTTCTGGCCATCTGGGGTAGTCTTCTGAGGACAACATTTTTTCATGAATGGCAAACAAACCTCCCATCATGATATGCCCTGGAGAAGTGGCAGCCACAAAGTCATCAGGGGTCTGGCAAGGCTGGGAAGTAGCAAAAATAATCACAAAACAGGTAATCAGTACTATCAGTAGTGCCATGTTTTTATCTCATTTGCTCACTTCTTGCAAGTTCTGAGGAATCATTGAGCTCACAGAGTGCCAGCAACGTCATTCTTATTTCACCTGTAAACACCATATAACGTATTGGATAGTGTCAAGGGCCAGAAACACTCAGTGTTCACATCCTTGATGACAGTCAAAACAGTTCTTCACCAATAAGAACATAGCAGACTTTCTCACACTCCGTTGTTGATGTGTGATGGCAGTAATGCCAGGTAAAGCTGATAGAATTAGAAACACAGCTCCTCACTGTGAAAGCGTCTTTTACTCAACTGACATGTCAAGGGCTTTGAGTCATGCTGGCATTTCTTTTGAAGTAAGATGTAGAATCTTCAAGAGGGAGCAGTTTGGGAAAGTTTTCCCTCTTCAGAAATGGACAGTTTTGGGACTTCCCTGGTGGCACAGTGGTTAAGAACCCACCTGCCAAGGCAGGGGACACGGGTTTGAGCTCTGGTCCGGCAAGTTCCCACATGCCGTGGAACAACTAAGCGCCACAACTACTGAGCCTGCTCTCTAGAGCCGGTGAGCCACAGCTACTGAGCCCACGTGCCACAGCTGCTGAAGTCTGCGTGCCTAGAGCCCATGCTCTGCAACAAGAGAAGCCACCACAGTGAGAAGCCCGTGCACCGCAATGAAGAGTAGCCCCTGCTTACTGCACCTAGAGAAAGCCCATGTGCAGCAACGAAGACCCAACGAGCCAAAAAATAAAAATAAATTTTAAAAGTTATAAATAAAAAAAATATTCTGAAAAATTAAAAAAAAAAAAGAAATGGACAGTTTTGCATTTTCCAAGGTATCACATTCAAGGCACAAAAGCTGAAAAGTAGTTTATAAACTGTTTAGAAAAATAGCATCCCATATTTATTTCCCCAGAAAAGCTCTATGTAAAAAATGAATTTCAGTTATATTTAGGTATTTATCACTGTGAGTTCACATGTGTTAGAAATAAGTAGTTTCTGTGGTGATGGGCAAAACTAAACATGAGATGAAACTTGTCTGATGTAGTAGTATTTTGCTTTGAACAAGAAAGTTCTGTCATAGATCATTGACATTTCCACCGCTGTTTGTGGATTCTATTTTTATACATTTGGAACTCTTCAGGCTACATGTTCTCAGTGCTTCAGAATCTGAACTAACATGACTTTGTGGATATCTCATAGAATTTAACAGAAGATAGATAAACCTCAGTAACTGGCACTATCAAGAGGTTAAAAATTTTTTAATTTACGTTTTAAAATCAGTCTTTTTCAAACATTGGTTTAAGGAGGAATATATCATGGGCAAGCAATTCCAAATCTAATACATCCAATTTATTTGATGGGTAGCAGATACATTTAAAAGAATTTCAGAAAATAAAAGAGTCCAGTGGCAATTATGATATTTTTCATCATTGAAATTATCCTTAGGTTCAATTGACATGTGGAGCTGTGAAGGGTGGAGAAGTCACAGCCCTTCACACGGTGTCACATGTTTCCTTAAGTCTTACCATTTTTACTAGCGGCAGGATTTCCTCTTAGGATCCAATCCAGTGAACTTCAGTTGTCTAGAAAGTTTAATATACAGGAGTCTGAAGACTCTTCAGGTGTCTAGCAATTGCATTTTACCTACTTAATCTTTATTATTCATTTGTGTATGTGTATGTGTGCAATTGGATAAATTTATGTTTTCATGAATTTAGTTATTTTGCTCAGGTATCTCCAAGATCTGCTATGATTATAAGTTCAAAAATGATTTTGGTAAAGATATACTAAAAAATAAGAAATTCAGATAATTATCTATCAAAAGTATATAATAGGTATTAAGCAACTCAGAATGATTCAGAAGATATGACCCTCATGTGACCATATTGCTCAGACCTGACATTTATTTGAAAAATCAGTGACAAAAGTTATGCCCATGATCTCTTAGGATGTAATTTTAACAATATTTAGGGTCTTTGTTATCTGACTTTCTTATTTTTTTTTATTTTTATTTTTTTTAGAAGATGTTGGGGGTAGGAGTTTATTAATTTATTTTTGCTGTGTTGGGTCTTCGTTTCTGTGCGAGGGCTTTCTCTAGTTGTGGCAGGCAGGGGCCACTCTTCATCGTGGTGCGCGGGCCTCTCACTATCGCAGCCTCTCTTGTTGCGGAGCATAGGCTCCAGACGCGTAGGCTCAGTAGTTGTGGCTCACGGGCCTAGTTGCTCCACGGCATGTGGGATCCTCCCAGACCAGGGCTTGAACCCGTGTCCCCTGCATTAGCAGGCAGATTCTCAACCACTGCGCCACCAGGGAAGCCCCTGACTTTCTTATTTTAATAAATATAATCTAAGTTGGAAAATCTATTTCTATAAAGGAGCCTTCTGAAAGTAGGAAAACAAAAGTTTTCAAAAGCCTTTGTCCTGTAAAATTCAGTGTCATGTGGCAGAAAGTGCTCAAGCTTCAGAAGCTGACAGACTGGGTGACCATGAATGTGACCATGAATGAGTTACAGAACTTTTCTGAGCAATAATTTTCTCATATATAAAATAGGTAAGATACTCTATCTCATGGATATGTTTTGAAACTTGAGCTGACTTGATTTGTAAAGCTCCTATATTCTAGTTGGCACTCAATAATTAGCTCCTGTCTTAATCCATCAGGGCTGCTATCACAAAAATACCATATACTTGGTGGCCTGTAATCAACAAACATTTATTTCTCACAGTACTGGAGGCTGGGAAGTCCAAGATCATGGCGCTGGCAGATTCAGTGTCTGCCGAGAGCCTGCTATAAACCTCACACGGTGGAAACGACAAGGGAGCTTTTTCAAGGTTGCTTTTATAAAGGCACAAATCCATTTGGGAGGGCTCTGCCCTCCTGACCTAATCACTTCCCAAAGGCCCCACCTCCTAATACAATCAGGTTTGGGCTTAGGTTTCAGCACCTGAATTTTGGGAGGGCATAAACATTCAGAACATAGCAGTTCCCTCCTTCCCCTTCCCAAAATCAAACTGAAAGTTATTAATTCGTAAATTTGGAATGCTTTCCACAATTGGTTAAATCATTGTTCAGAGCTCTTTCTCAAATATCTTAAATGCATGCCTGGTAGAAATGATGATGTTTATAATTGAACCATTAGCTGGTTATTGTCTCCCTAAAATATAAATCCATTACTGAGTTCAGGGTGAAGGAAGATACAGAGTATACTAATTACTTCAGAATTTCACTGGACACGTTATCCTCATTGTTGTAGTTTCTATTATTATCAAGATTTGATTTTGGACCAGGGACAAAACTTTTAGCCATCATTTTTAATCTACAGTTACTGTACATTTTCTGCAATTTACAAAGACTTAAAAATGACAACAATAAGTCTTACTATTTCAAAAGATTTTATTTTTAGCCTTAACTGTTTCTGAAAGACAAAAACGAAGAAGTTTTGAGAGATGAATTACTGATGGCAGTAGCTTACTCCTCCTTTTGATCTCAAGGTTCTATATTTCTTTGTAACTATCTTTATATGAAGAGATATCTGCCTAATATTATTTAAAGGGAATAGTACAGAAGTGATAGCACTACCCAAGTAATTCTTATAAAGACACCATTGCCCTGTTGGGACAAGTATAGTAAGGGATGTAAAATCAATGAGTAAGGGTGCTTTGCTCTATCATTAGTTTGTAGCACTTCGATGGGATGACTTACTACAGCCCCAGTAAGCTAATCTGAGCTACAATAGTCACTAGATATGATCAGCATCTTAAATGGCCTATTACTATTATCACTCACTTGTAAAAATCGAATTATCAATTAATATGATGCTTAAGCAGCATTGAATGCTAGAGGGATACCATTGTACTGTAAGTCACAAAGTTCAGCAAACTTCAGCTAGAGGTAAAATGAGATGGCAGAGGCCTAAATCCCCAGTGGACCCAGTTGGCTGCATAGCTAAGTAATTGATTTTGTTTAGTTGGATTTCAAATATATCAATAATTTTAGAGTTGGTTCTTAAGAAGTTTATAAAACAATTGAGTCAAATTGTGGTCGTCTTGCAATCTTTCCTCTGTTGGGTCCCCTGTTCCCCTGTACTTACTCAGCTTGTCTCAGTATTCCATCACTGTGTACTCCACATTGAATTGTCAGTCATCACTGCAACACTTCTGCTCCATCATACCCTGTCTGCTGTACTCCTGTCTGTAACTGAAATTTCTCTCCTAGCACTTTTTTATGTAATATATAGTTTTAGCATTAGGAAATTAATTTTCTTTAATGTTCGACATAGAGGATATTATCCTACTCAGGTCATCCTAGGATGTCTATGGATGGACTTCATAAAAGTCTGTGAATCCCTTAAAATTGCATAAAAAGTTTGAGTGAACATGCATATATGGGTTTTTCTGGGGAGAGCATTCAGTGCTTTTATCAGATTATCAGAGTCTGTTTCCCCCAGAGAAGTTAAGCACTACTGTCTATTATGACTAGCTTGAGCCTTGCTTCCCAGGAAACACAGGAATGTTTCCTGAGATAATGATCCTGCCTTTATTGTTACCTATTTGTAACTCAAATCATCCCCACTAATCTTCCACCAACAACTTCATCATTTGTTTGATACCCATTCATCATTTAACACCACCAGTCAAAAGACCCACAAAGTACTTCTCATCCATCACAAAGCAGAACACAACTAGCTCACCACCCTAAGAAGACCAGACCTACTTACCTTACTTGCCACAAAATGAAGGGAAGGATTGTTGTTTTCCAGTGAAGTTAAGCAGCAGAAACAGTCTATACTGTTTCATTAGTTCAGAACAGAACAGGCCAAATGTTCATTTTTCAAAGCTATTTTCATTTTATTTTTTTCTACCAATCATGCAAAAAATGCTATTATTAAAATAATTATTTTGTTGTAATTTGAGGGTGTTTCCCTCTTAAGAGGAGAACTTTAATAATTTAGGTTACCATTTAGATCTACCTTTCATAATCTCACATGGAATGGTAATGTAGCATTCCATCATCTTCTCT